TATTTGATATAAATACTCTCTTTCATATATCACACTGTTGAATCGTTTCTATGAATAATATCTGTTTTGATTTCAAAACAAATGTTTGTATTACAAGCTGAAATTGTGGGGTAACGATTTTCTTGTAATTCAAAGTTAATATGAAAGTCTTTGTTTCAAAAGGGTTTTCTTCCGTATTTATATCTAAAAATAACTATAATGCATGATCTACGAGTATAATATATCTGTGTAGTTTATTTTGAACTCAATTGCTTTGTTCTTTCCTTGGTGAGTTTCCCACATTTTTTTTCATTAAGATGGAGATGTAGAAAACCAAAAACCTTTCCCAAAAACTAATCGGTACTGAAAATATACCCCCTATAATTTAAACAAGATTCCTATGGCTAGGAATAAATCAAATAAGCGCATGAATGTCTACGTACTGTGACATGAATAGATTCAACTCTTCCTAATGTTATGAATGTCAATTGAATGGTTCGTCTTGTAATACTATCCATAAAGGTGCTGATGAGATGATTGGATAAGTGTCGTATTCCGAATCTTCGAAGTCCGCCGTTTAAGAAGAATATACTTGAGAAGTAGATAATCGGTCGGCGAGAGGTATGGAAAGTATGTTGCATGATACAGAACTTTGACGATCAATTCGTTTGGTTTTCGGACGGTGATTTGTGAAACAAGCCTGGTGGGCCGGTAGTCTGGTGGGTTGGCATGGGTGGTTTGCTCCACCCAACTCAATCGACCGCTGTTTGAACCGGTGGTTCGAACCGCAAGGCCGGATGATCGATTTTCATTTCCCGTCGTCCAACCCGTGTTAGGAATCACGGGTTGGACGTTAAAAGATAAGACTTTGTTAGTCCTTAGCTCGCACAAGTTTCAACTTTTGAGCAACAGGGTGGCGACAGTTGGTTAACGGAAAAACAGATTTTAACAGACAGACAGAAGCTGACGGGCGTTGCCGCAGAGCAGGATCGGACCTCTTTTGTTGATCAGTGCCGTCTGCTGCTGAAACAGTTTTTGGTACATTTCGTCGATTTCCTCACAATAGGAGTCTATTTACAATATTTTCTTTCTACCTGCTTGGCAAACAATTCTGAAATTAATCTCATAACGAAAATTACATTTTTGTGTCCGGTTTAGACCAAGTAATATGCGATACGGATTTTTCAGACAACATATGTCTACGAAAAGATGAAAATATTTTTCAATTATAAGTTCAATTCAATTATATATCGTTCAGAAAATCGAGTTTTTCAAAAAATTCATCCTAATATATAAATTTGAACGTATGGCAGCTGAAAAATCAACATCTACTATGATAAATTTCAATATATATTCCTTATTTGTCACAGATCAATTCAATTGACACTCTTCTATAACAGGAATGCTAACATTGGGATGATTAGTTGCTTATACATTGGATTTCTTTATTTTTTTCAGTCGGCAAGTTGATTTTTTCGAAATCTTTTCTATATACTCAATACATTCATCATTGCTCCAGTATCAAGCTTGAAACTGATAGTGGGTATATTAGTAACATAAATTTTCATTTTCCATCATTGACACCGGAAACAGAAGTGTCATTATTCCAATAAACACATTATGAGTCAAGTTTTCATCTATTTCATTAAATAGCTCATTATAGTTTTCATAAAAAACTAAATCTATATTCCATTTAAATATGTTATATGTTTGAAAAATATATGTTTAAAATATGTTTTTCCGTTACCCAGCTGTCGCACCCCTACGAACGACAACCCTCAGAAGTCGAAACTTGTGCGAGCTGAGGACTAACGAGGTTTTAACTTTTAACGTGTGATTCCTAACATGTTGTGCGCACATTTTGTGGGAATGATTAAATTTACCACAGGAACTACATTGTTCACCTATGGCCGGACACTGATGATTTCTTATGTGTTGTTAGCCACACCTATAACAAAAAACTCTTAAAAAATCTGTTAAAATCTGTTTTTCCGTCAACCAGCTGTCGCCCCTCTACAAACGAAAACTCTCAAAAGTAGAAACTTGTGCGAGCAAAGGACTAACGAGGTCTTACCTTTCAACGTGTGATTCCTTACACGGGTTGGACGTTAGGAAGTGAAAATCGATCGCTCGGCCTTGCGGTTTGAACCACCGGTTCACACAGCTGGCTTGGCACACCATATCTTTGCTGTCTGAATGACTGACCGGAAGATCCTGAATTCTGATGTTGTTTTGCACATGTCGTTGGTTGCTGTTGTGGAATTGGCCGCGGTGGTAGTGCGCCCGACTCACGATCGGAAGACTGTGGGGTCGATTTCTGCCTCGACCAGATATTTTTCTCTGGAGAATTTATCTGGTTGAAGCTGGGATGATTCTGCAACTGTTTTAGGAATCACACGTCGAAAGGTAAGACCTCGTTAGTCCTTAACTCGCACAAGTTTCTAAATTTCTTAGAGTTGTCTTTCGTATGGAGGGCGACAGCTGATTAACAGAAAACAGATTTTAAACAGATTCAAACAGATGTGTTCCTTGAAAATTTCTTGACTGTTCCTTTATACTGCACACTATTCTTTCTCCTGCCATTTCTTTCTCTTGTTTTATGGACTCATCAACAGACACACACACATTTGAACCGTGTTTTTCAGATCCAAATTATCATCTAACATCGTTGTTTTAACTCAACCGATGTAAGACCATTTATCAACACTGAACACGTTTCTATGTTTTTTACCACTTTTATTTGTAACTAACGTTACTGCAGTTTCGTCCTATAAGGACATTTTCAAATTTATACATAAAAATATCCCCATAGGACGAAACTTTAGTTACAAATAAAAGTGGTAAAAAACATAGAAAGTTTCAATTCTCTTTTCGTCATTATGATTTTCTACCAGGTAGTAACCGGCTGCATCCATCAATTTACTGAAGACGTTTGATTTTCTTGTGTGTCTTCCAACTAATAGTGCTTTTTGTTGATGAATTTCCACCTTTCAAAGGTAAGATTTTCTTACGTTTGGAAACATTCTTGACATTTTTTGTTATCAAAGATTCAATTTCATATTTTTCTGCCTCCGAAAATTGAAAAAAATGATAAATGTGCAATAATACTTCATCGCCAATATATTGCAGTAAATGAGAACACTGTAGATCTTCCTTTTATTTATTTAGTTCTGCTGCTTTGAGATAAATTTTCAACATTTTTATACAAAAATTCCACTTCTCCGAAACATTTCCACTTATGTCGTGTCGGAGCAATTCCTCATTAATCTGTTATTACATTTATTTCACTCTCAGAATTCACAGTATTTTTTATTTTTTAACAATTATTCGCAGCGCCATGTAATGATTCTACGTTTTCATTTCAGACTGGTTTATTTCTATCAAAAATGTATGTATGACAGTATACATGTTTCCAGTATCTATTTTTTTATTTAATGTAGGTCACTGAAATCTAATTTTTATAATTTGAAAGGGTTATATTTTTAGGAGTGACTACTAAAGTTCACCCTATTTCATCCATCGTAGATAACGTGGATCAACTTTAAATTATTCCCTCCGTAATGAACATTCCATTTCTTTTTCGGCTGAATTATACTTTATGGGATACTCAGGGATTAACGCGATTTTTTTTGAATGATACTACATGATGGTAGGAATTCAGAACACTTTTTATTTTTTGTCGGACTCAATTAGTTCTCGAGATATAGCCTGTCAAAGTTTGTATGACGTCATATTTTGCCTTTTATTTCTGTTTAAAAATCTGTTTAAAATCTGTTTTTCCGTTAATCAGCTGCCGCCCCTATACGAACGACAACTCTCAGAAGTTGAGAAACTTGTGCGAGCTAAGGACTAACGAGGTCTTACCTTTTAACGTGTGATTCCCAACAATAAACGATTGCAATTCACATATTTTTTATTTAACACAACTTTTTCCATATCATCGCACCTTTTTTTATCCCTTTTCAATACTTATTGCCGAGTTTCCTGAAACTAGAATAAAATTCCATAATTTATCAGGTATACACATCGACGTAACCTTTTAGGTTATGTCGATGGGTGCACACAAATCACTTTTTATAGATTGCATTAAGTTTCACTATTCGAAAATACGTTCCTTTTAGAATTTTGAGGTCAGGTTAGATGTTGAGGAAACATAGTTTTTACAAAAGTAAATATTCGAAAATACGTTCCTTTTAAAATTCGGAGGTCAGGTTAAATGTTGAGGAAATATAATTTTAACAAAAGTAAATATTCGAAAATACGTTCCTTTTAGAATTTGGAGGTCAGGTTAGATGCTGAGGAAAGATAGTTTTTACACAAGTAAATATTCGAAAATACGTTCCTTTTAGAATTTGGAGGTCAGGTTAGATGCTGAGGATACATAGTTTTTCAAAATTGTAAACTAAGGTTACACTGAGTTAGGTTAGGTTGAGTTAGCATATGACAAATTATGGAATTTCAATCTAATTTCAAGAAACTTGGCAATAAGTGAATGAAAAGGGATAAAAAAAGTGCGATGATATGGAAAAAGATGTGTTGAATTAAAAATATGTGAATTGCAATCGTTTATTGCTAGAAAAATATGACATCATACAAACTTTGACAGGCTATATCTCGAAAACTAGTCGAGTCCGACAAAAAATAAAAAGTGTTCTGAATTCCTACCATCACGTAGTATCATCACAGAAAAAATCGCGAGAATCCGTGAGTATCCCATAAAGTAAAAAAATTTCCCTTTTTTTTCATGTTGTTATTACCTACCTTTTCAAAAAAATTATTTGCATCGGTCTATCAATAATCAATTGTATCTAGACCTTTGACAACACCGCTCGCTTACTCACCTCCCCTAAGGTAAAGTCTTCATCCGCGGAGGCCGCGAACGAAGAAATTGCAATTCACGTTTTCGCCACTTCTTCGACCGCTTCCGCTGCTGATCGTGAATGCGCGACAGTCCCGCGCAATCAAACGGTCTGCCGGCGTTTCAACAATGCGATGCAAGAAACCGGCTGTCAGACCGCGTCAGTACCGCGAGTAGTACGTATGTATAAACCGAAAACAATGGCAGGCAACATCGTGGCCGAGTGGCTGCGATCACTGCATCTTGGCCAATACGCAGAAAGTTTCATCGACAACGGGTACGACGATCTCGAAATATGCAAACAGGTCGGTGATCCCGATCTGGACGCAATCGGAGTGTTCAATCCAGTGCATCGGAGCAGGTTGTTGCAATCGGTGAGGACTCTTCGGGAAGAGGGGGCCGCTTCCGTGTATTTTACCCTCGAGGAGAGTGTGGCGGTGCACGAAGAGTGTTTTTGTGACAATGTGAGTGCCAGGTCGTCTAGAACTTCCTCGGGACGTTCCGAAAAAGATGCCCTAACTAACACCAGCAGGGTGAACGCTTCTCCGGGCGCTTCTTCTGCTGAGAGCGGGCAAGAAGTCGCTGCCAAATATCTGGACGAGTACGAGGAAGGAAAGGCCGAGCTGGTGAAGATCCCAAGGATGCAGCTGAAGGTCTTGCTGAGGGAGAAGCTGTCTCAAGATGGCATCAGGTTGAGCTGTCAACCTTATTCAACACAGGTTAGTCCATGTGATGCGTAGCGTTCTTTTGTTTCTTTGTTGGAGTTACTGACTATCTTGACAAACTCGAATGCACTACAACTAGTCTGTGAATACATTATATTTTCAAGTCAAGGACTGCTAACTTTTTTGCGTTGCGTACCTAAATAGTTTTACAAATGTAGGCAAACTTAAAGAACGTTCCCAACTCGAAATACTTCCAAGGTTTTCAATACTAATTCAGTCAACGTACTTATTAAAACTTAATACCAATAGTTGTCAAAAAATATGGAGTTCAAGTGCCCAAAGGAAATCGTGTTATTTGCCTTTGAAACTTTGCCTTTCTTGCTATTTGAAGTATTTTAAAAATGAATTGGGAAAGAAATTAATCAGGAAGCTGAAATTGTCATTTTCGTGACGTCTTTTTCCTGAATTCTTCATTATTTCGTTTATTATTTTATGGGAAATCTTTTTTTTGTCAAAAACATTTTCTGTTGCTCTAAGACATCATCAGGTTCGAAATGAATTCCACAAAGTCTTGAACTCAGTTTCGAAACTTATCCAATAGTTACCTATCAAGACTTTTTTATTGTTGTCTTTATAGGACATACATTTTTTGGAAATTTTGTTATGAGCCTCACGAAAATTTACTTCTATATACAGTCAGAACAAGCTACCTAGGATCAAAAGATCAATATTTTCAGTTTTCTCATTGAATAGCAATTATTTCATTTGGGCAATAACTTCATGTTGTAAAATTTGGACGATTTCGTAGTACTTAGCGAGTTCTCAACAAAAACGGAAATGTACGAGTGCTTAATTCGATTGACATTTGTGAAATGAGTATTTCATGGGCTGGAAAGTTTATATATATTACTCGAAAAATGTTCCCAGCAATAATGTGGGATGTGGTTTGATCAGATATTAATGTCTTAAATTGAATATCCAATACGCCTGCTAAAATATTTTGAATATTCCAAAGAAAATGTAAAAGCTAATTCTTGTGGAGGAAAGAATCAGAGTTTTTATCGACCTTATTTTTACCTTCCACAATCTGAAAAATATAAATATTATAATGGAAAACTTTATACAGGTGTAGAAAGGGCAAACTTTTCAGTTCTTCCCGAGATGTTACCGCGTGAATCGATTCATCAGAACCTAACTTGTCCTATTTGGTGATTTTGCCTATCAAAAAAGAGGTAAGAAATTATACAGATACGTGTATCTTAACGTTTCAGAGGTTAAAATCTGCTTTCGTCTTCAGTGTATTCATGTGTAAAGTATACGTATATTTTACAAGTTTTTCTCAGATGACTGAATTGAACCGTTTTTTGGATAATCGCCTCTTGTATGTACATTTGATACCTAATCTCTCGGTGATCATACATAATATAACGCTTGATAATTCAGCTTCAAAAGGTGAATATAGTTAAACAATCACTGAAAAATCTGGAAGCATATTAAGTAACTTAATTCTCAAGACAATAAGAATATTGAACACTATTGAATAGATGATCATTAATCAGTCTTATAGAGATAACGAAAAATTTATTTCTCTGAAAACATAAAAAAATATGAAATTTAGTTTGAATCATAGTGGTGGTACAAATATAATGGGTTTCCACCATCAATGCAAGCCACGTGTGCCCAAAGCCCTCACATTGTACATACACTGCACTCAATCATCTCCTGTCCATAGCTTTTAATGCATACCAGGTAAAAAAATATTCACCTATTTCATTATCTGTTTCTGTTTTTTCTTCATTTTGGTCCCCATTTTGATGTTTTCCTCTCCACTGAGATCAATTTTTACCACCTCAACCTGTTTCCGGCCATTCTTTCCCTCAGTTTATCTACTAATTGTTTTTTTCTGGTGTGTCTTTATACCGGGTACCTATTGCATTTGCTTGATTTATCGGTATTGAGGCGAATAGATATAAGGCTACATTTTGAAATAAGCTTCAGATGAACAGGGAATATCCAGAAAAATTTCTGGAATAGAGTACAATATTATGGTCCAAATATACATAAATGTAGAGTCTTAATGTATGGGTCGGAAAATATTTTCTGTTTCGATTCGAAGGTACGGTAGGAACAATTACCTACAGTAATTTCCGAATTTTCATTGTACTTATATTTTTTTCGTATTCAAAGTTATGTTACGTAGAAATATTGGCTGCGAAACACCCAAATATCTTGAATACCGTACTTCAGATGGATTATGAAAATTACTTTCTACTATAGTCCGTCTAGTATAGAAACAAGTACTCACATAAAGAAAAAAAAATTATGTCAACTATAATTTAACTTCCAAAATACAAATCATGAAATTATAAAACAACAATAAAAATTAATTGGCGCTCCGGGGCGACTTCATTGATTCCAGTGGCGCATTTGCTTTTTCAGCTGCAGGAAAACCCGGAAAAACCTGCAGCACCACATCATCTGAATATCTTGATCTGCCAATGTCTCCTCTCTCGTAAAACAAAATGTGGGGTGTCTGCAGAGGCTCCAATAAATTCAATACATCACCAGAACACTTCGTGACATGACTATATCGTCAAACTTGAACCAGTCCGTTTCGTCTTTGACCAAGGCGTAATAATGACAAATTCAACGCCAGAACCACAGTGAACAACAACAGTGAACAACTGCATAAATATTATAATAATGGTCTGCTAGATTGAAGTGATCATCTATTTCGAACCTTCGTAAGACTTTGATGCTTACGTCAGAGGTTGAGTCATGTTTGAAGGTCATCAGTGTTATTATTAGATTGACTGGTGCCTCAGCTATACTTGTTTCCTTACAACAGTCCGTTAGCTTGGCGCATGTTTGGCAATAGAGTCGATAATTACCTGTTAATAGTTCCATTTTCAGATGATTTAACAATAAGCTTTGCACGGACTGGTTATTCCAGAAATTCAAATTCGTTTTTGCTACCTCTTGAACATTTACTACAAAGTAAACAAGTGAGGATTCTTCCAGCAAAAGATTTACAAACACAAGACGAGATAGACTGTACGGAATAATTCATTCCAGAGCGGTCAGGAGTATTGATTCTGCTTTTTTTTTGCTCACGAAGAGTATTCAACAAGAAACCCAAGAATTTAGAACAGTCCTCTTGTTGTCCTAACGAGTATCTAGTGGACTTCAAAGACTCCAGGAAATCGGTTGGAGGGAAAGATGATACATTCTTACGAAATTGCAGCTGCATGAACAGGTGTTTGAGTTTGTTGAATAAGTAGGAAACATTCTCGTTCATTATTAAAACCTCGTTCTTGAAATCCTACGTAATGAACAACATTTGTAAAATGCTGTTCATGTAGCAAGTGTTTCCTAAATTATCAACTAGTATATAAGAACAAATGTATAATGATAACTTTCTCTACAACAGTGAGGGATATTTCATATCGTCAACTCTTCAACTTCACAGTGTATATTAAACTGCTCCAAAGAGTTAGGGACATTTCATATCCTTCTCAATTGTGAAGCAGTTTATTTTCAGATTAAATGAAAAGTTCTACAAGTTATTCGTTCACTAGTTATGAGACATTCGTGAAGCGATAGTTTAGCTTTCTGAACAATTTTGAAAATCGGTTAAGTAGTTTTTGATTTTCCATTACAATCAAACAAACACCCAAACACATTTTTAACTTTGATATTATTTTATACATTGGTTTCCAGTGATTAACTTGGCTTTCCATGGCTTGTTTCATTCACGAATGTCTGGATTAAACTGGATTCCTTATCCACCCTGCATAATCAAAAATAACCAGAATGAATTTTTATAATTTTCTACATCTTCTTTTTCCTACGACTCTCAGTACTTTCCCCTCAACCAGTTCTAATACCATTCGCCGTACTTTCCAGAACGATTCGTCATTGCATCCAGTACAGTCTCAATACAAGTTCGGCTAAGACCGACTCTGCTCATTGGCCGCATTTTCAATATTACTTTTTAATGGTAGATTCGGCTGCAGGGTTGATTTAGAAGAACTAAGCTGGCGCCCTAACAATATTCAATATTAAATACTTCAGTGAATTCACCTTGGCAATTATCTATAAAGAGGAAAACTGGAATACATTTTATTTTTATAACCTCATGTGTAACACCACACACAATATTGCAATATATCTTGAAAACGATTGAATTATTTAGGAAATAGCGAGGTTTGAATTATTCACCAGGTTTTTATTATTTTTAATTGAATTTTTCGCGTTCTCCATTTCCATTTATGCTTTCGGAACACGAAAACATCGGAGAAAATATCGGTAGAATATTTATTAGGACACGTATATTATAGAGATTGCGGGGATACGATATCTCATATTCAGACTGGAAAGCATTTTTTTGGTTTTTGTTACAGGGGCTGTTGGATGAGTTTCACTTGAGTGTTGATGGCGTACCTACTTGATTTTACTTGAAATTCATTTGTGTTGGTTAAAATTCAAGCGTATCGAATATCAACAAATAAGCTAACAGTAAATGAATAAATGAATAAATGAATAAATAATCAATTGGCAAAAAAGTGTTCAATAGGTGAAAATAAATTTTTGGTGGTGTTTGGCTTTCTACTCTCCATCTTGATAGAAACAAATGTGGGAATCTTCTGAAGAAAGGAAGGAAGTAATCAATTTTAAAATAAGTAACTCTATATATGGATGTGTAGATCATGCAAAGAAGTAACTTTCAGACAGAAAGTGGAAGTGGAAGAAAAAGCCCTCCAGTTTGTGTCTGAAAGTTACTTCGCATGATCTACTCATCCATGTATAGAGTTACTTATTTTAAAATTGATTGCTTCTTTCGTTTCTTTAGAAGATTTTTTGTATCAAGATGTAGTAGTAGAAAGCCAAAAACTTTCTTTCCCAAAAATTAGTCACTCCTAAAAATATAACCCCTTCAATTCGTAAAAATAAATGTTTAAAAGTTTATCAAAACCGCGGTATAATGTTTTGAGCACTACTTAAATTTCATTTTGGAGTCCACCAGTGAAGTAGTTATTCAACTTCACGTGAAT